CCTTGGGGTCAATCCCAGAGCTGGGGAAGGGCTCAGGCCTGGGACTGACATGGCCCTGCCTCAGTGTCAGGCTGTGATTGGTTAACAGAGCCCATAGACCCCGCCTAACCAGAGATGGGATTGGATAAGAMCATTTGTGGGCGGAGGCTCTGCAGGGCAAACAGCCAATCGGTGTTTAGCCTGGGGAAGTTCAGAGTACAAAAAGGTGCAGCTTTTGGAGAATGAAGGATTTCTTTGAACCGGCTGAAAGAGCTCTGTGTCCTCTGTCCCCCATTRYCACACACTTCCCCAGCCCCAGAGMTGCTGCAGAGAAAGCTGATTTCTTGCACCCTTTCTGGGGCCTCAGGAGGGGAGCAGCTGTGAGCAGTGACCCTGAAGGATGAAAGCTGAGGCAGTGAGCCCTGCTCACATCCAGCACCCATGGTTCCTGCTGGGTCAGTTCTGGGTTTAAACACTGTCTAAAGCAGCTCTGCAGCGTGATCACTTCTGGCAAACCTGGTGTTTTGGCCAAGAGGGAGAGCTACCARCATTGTCAGAGGCCAGGCCCTGGTCAGTGTTTCCCTCTCCCTCCTGGAGCCATGATTTCAYACGGGAGCACTGAGAAGGCCTGGGGAAAGCTTTGGTTTTTCACTTCACAGCAGCACAGCAGTGAACACARGGGCCACCCAGACAGGGCCCATCAGATATGGGGTCAGAGAGCTYTTGTCCCATTGAACAGACCTTCTGTGCTGGAAGAGGTCAGCTTTGGAGCAGTTCAGCGAGTGTGACTGAGGCATTTTGGAGAGAAGAGGGATGCCCTTTCCACCTCCAGCATGCAGAAAACTTATCCAAAGCATTTATTTTATGAGAGATGTTTGTGTCCAGCCAATAGCACTGCCAAGACTGAGGTTATCCTCCATGACATTGTTTGTTCAAATTATTGGCTGTAAGCATTTTACAAGTTACTAAAAGTAGTAAAGAAAACAAGCACATAAGTGATTTTGAAAACAAGCTGCACCCGCTGCTATTAAAGGCCGGGAGTGCACACGCACCCTGGCACCGCTGCCTGTTCTTGGAGTAGGACTGCTCTTGCTAGAGGCAGCAGGACTCAGTCAAAATTTCATTCCTGAGTTCTGCACAGCTCCCAGACATGCAGATAAACCACCAGACTCCAGGGCTTGCCCACAACAGGAACAGAGCCCAAGAAGCCCCAGGAGCATCAGTGGCAAAGYGCAGCATTTCAGCAGCTGAGACCTGCTCGACCAGACCACAACGGGAACCAGGCTCTGCTTTCATCATTTATCATCACAGGTCATTTTCTCCTGCTCACTTCTCCCAGGCCAGTTGCTGAGAGGAGCAGCAGAAGTCAAGGAACTGATGCTCACAGTTGGTGGGAGAGGGCTGCCTCCTGTCYAACTTCTGCTTTATTAGTATTAATACAGTTGTATACAGCCTGGCATGTGGGAGAATGCTTCTTTTTAGGGTCTCAAGTTGGTATTTAGGAAGACTTAGGACTCTGTGGCAAGTTTTATAGAGTTGCAGWGTACCCAAGGGTCTCATTCCAGAGATCTTTTAAAAATTAAAATCTTCCTTCCTTTGCTGTTTTGAACTATAATCATTGCAAACAGCTTTCCAACTTTCTAAGTGTTTTTAGTACAAATTTCTCTTATGTTTCAAACATACTGAGATACACACAAAAGTGAGTTCACCAGCTAGAAAAAGGTTTGGGCGAGTCAGAATATTCCTTATACTTGGGTATTCCACCTTATTTAATCAATCATTTAACTAAAAAAGCTATTAAATTATTCTACTCATTCCATCTTTTCCCAACAAAAAGTTTGAAGAAAGCAAACCTTGATCTTTTAACTTATTAGACCAGCAAGACCATTCCAAAGTAGGTGTTTTGACTGCTGCCTCGATCTTCTAAAGAGAATTCAGCTCCTTAAAATCTACAATATTAGGCAAGGCCCTTGACATCAGCTACAAACAATTTCTGAAGGGGATGTGCTGGGCTTTAAATCCCAGATGTCAGATAAATCAGTGACTGAAAGAAAGACAAAAACACAGCCATGATCATGCAGTGGGTGGAATTGATTTTAACAGAAGACCTKCGGTGGTTCAGCTTTTCCATTAAAGCCGGCTGGATGAGCCACCTCAGCCAAAACACATGATGTGCTCCAGAAAACCCTCCAAGCAGATGGAGTGAGACAATCAAAGTCCCTGCACGTGGAGCACAAAGAGCTGAGCCTGGAAAAGGGAACCCAAGGGCAGGATGCTAATATTTGAATGCACCATAGAGGGAAAGTGTTTGTTAAAAAGGCAGCTGGAGAAAAACTCGTGTGTTGGTTCTTGTCACAGAGCACATCCTTACCTTGTCCCTGCAGGACCTGGTGTGGCAGTGGCTGCAGCAGAGATGCTCAGGAAGCTGGGGCTGCAAAGCTGGACACTCCTTGCACAGGAACACTGGGCACTGCAGCACACTCTGGACATTCCTGTGGCCATTCCCTTGGGCCAACACGCAGCCCCAGCAAAGGTTTGGCTCTGTGCAGTGCTGGCACCCCACGGCATTGCTTCCACCCCAAGGGCTCTGCACCCAGAGCTGCCATCAGGGAGTTCAGGCAGCCACAGCCAAGGTCCTGGCTCGGCAGCTGGCACCCCACCTCYGTGCTTTGTGGGATCTTTACAGGGAGCAACTGGAATAGCCAAAAMCGTGACAAAGTGTAAAAATCTGATCACTTTGATACTTATGGGTTTCCTTGGCCCTATAGGCTCCAAAGCAAGGAAATGTTCTGCAGCTGTGTGGTCCTGTTCCACCACAGTGTTTCAGTCCAGTTAAGCAACATCTGGCAGCAAGGGCTGCATGCTTTTGGTCTCYGAAAATTTCCAATATGAAATCAAGGAGAGTTAGAGAGAGCACTGGGCTTAAGGAATGGTTAGTACATGACAACAGTGTTGGAATTACAACCAGAAATAAAGTCTGTGTAGAATAAAACATTACAACCAGAAATAAAACCTGTGTAGAATAAAAGGGACACCAGAGCAAGAGGTCAATCTTCAGCCTACGCTACAAACTTCAGCTAAAGGCAAGGCCATTCCCAAGCACGCAGAGCAGCTCACTCTGTCCTGCACAAAGACCAGCAGAAAGCTGTGTCCTTCACAGGGCTGCACTGACAAAGCCATGGAGTGATGCACATTCCCACTGTGCTGCAGCAGAGGCAAGAGAAGCCATGGAGATCCCAGGAGCAGGACACCCCTCCAAGGTGATATCCTCACAGGAGCAGCCCCAGCTGAGCCAGGAACACTGAAAACAAGATTCACCCACCAAAACCTCTGGCCTGACCCCAGACACGATCAGCTGGGTGGGGTGAGCAGTGCACGTGTCCASCTTCCTCTGGGGCTCCCAGGACCAGCCCCTGGGCACGGTGCCACCACTGCTGCTCTTGGTGGAAACCAGCTTTTGGCCCCCAGAAACACTGCACCAGAGCCTGTCCARCTAAATAAATGATGTTGTTTACAGCTGGAAGATGGTGTCCATTACACAACATGATCGTCCTGGCCAAGCTTCCAGGGAGAAGCTGTTCTTCAGGGGATTGTTGCTTGAAAAGATGAAGAAGAAAACAGAACYAGCTGAAGCCAACACAGCGATTTAACAGCACAGGAAACCTAATCTGCTTCTGCTGAGAAAACAACAGAGCTGCAAATTTGTCCAGTTCACACTTACTGTTGGGCATATTCTATATTTGGGGGTTTAGCCACTGTCTGGACAGAGCTGACAGAGCAGGTGAGGGAAAGGAAACCCAATCAGTAAAAAAAAAAAAAAAAAAAAAAAAAAAAAAAAAAAAAAAAAAAAAAAGGTGAGACAGACCAAGAAATTAAAAGCAGGAAAATGCACTGGAAGGCAGGGAGCAAACAAAAGGTGCTTCAAGCACATTAAAAACATGAGAACTCCAGCAGAGAATAAAGTGGAAAACAAATATTAAAAGAGTGACAAAAACAAGAGTAGCAAYTGTATCACTGGCTACCCAAATGACACATGAGCTGCAAGCCCTGGGTCTTGTCCTCCTGGCACCATGAGCAGAACGATCACTCTGCAGATTGCTGATCCCTGGCTGTTGGGTGCATCAATCACCCCTCAACTGCACATTCCCTTTACACTGTGGATCCAGGATAAAATCCAGGGCAGGGGCAAGGACCCAGGCTTTTAAGGACTCAAGCCCAGCTCCTGCTGCTCAGTGTATCTTCAGACCTGCTGGAGACAGGCAGTGCCCTGGGAAGGACAGAGTGCCCTTGGGATGCTCCATTATCAACCACGGGGTTCATCTTTCCCCSCTCATGGATGGCTCAGTTTGTCCCAACAGGAGGCTCTGCCAGGACACAGCAGTCCCCWGTGCTTTCCCAGCTGTCAGGGAACGTGAGGCGTGCACAGCTCCTGGCAGTCTCCCATTTTACTGCAGAGGAGTCACAGCCATCGCCAGGGCTGTGCTCAGGGCTCGGTCACAGCTGTGTTTTCCTGAGCCTGAGCCTGGGACATCTGCCAGCCATGCCAAGGTGAGAGCCTCTCCTCACACCTGGATGGCAGAGTCACACTCAGCTGCCTTTGCTGAAGCTCTAGCTGGAGAAAAGCATAAAAATTCCTCCCAGAACAGTTTTTTTGAGCAAACTGCCAAGCAGACTCTGATAAAGTGATAACCCACGAGCAGGAGCCTGTCCCACACAGCTGCCGAGGGAAGTCTGTGCCTGTTGCTGTTTGCAGAGGGCAGGAGGTGGGAAAAACCATGACCAGAGCACGATGCTGGGCTGAGAAATCTCAGGGCAGCACTTAATCAGCTTCTGTGTGCCTAAACACTTAATCCTCAGCGGGGTGCAGCATGAAGAACCAGCTGATCTATTTACTCAGTGCACAGTCCGGCTGACCCTGCCATGCCCGCGGTTCACYTGCCCAAAAGGTACCCGCTCCTTTTCTTGCCTCCTTCTCTGCTGTCCACCAGGTACTAGATGCAGTGGCTGATGTGTGGCTGGTCATGTTCTTTCCTGTTATATTTATATTTATCTGTGCAGCAAAGGCTGGGCTGAGTGTGAATGTCTCCAATCCATGCCCAAGGATGTGCAGATGTACACCTGAAGAGACCATCCTGTGCAACAGAGCCGGACTGAAAACCCTCCCTGGAGAGATAGCAGCATCCACCATCGCTCTGAACCTCTCCAACAATTATCTGCGGACTCTCAACACCAACACCTTCAGAAATCTGACTTTCCTTCACAGCCTCTGGCTGGATGGGAACAATCTGACATTCGTGACCCCGGGCACTTTCCACGCTCTCGGCAGGCTGCAAGAGCTGCACCTCAGCAGGAACTCACGCCTCACCTACCTGCACGCAAACACTTTCAGAGGACTGTTAAACCTCATCAGCCTGGATTTGTCCCACTGCAACATCTTCGAGATCCACCCACTTCTATTTTCACACCTGCCTTCTTTGGAAAGGCTCGACTTAGCCTCCAATAACATGCGGTACGTCCCGCAAGCCTTTAGGAACCTCTCCAGCCTCACAGAGCTGTCCCTGGAGGGCAATCACATAGAAGCCATCGGCAGAGATTCCCTGAGAGACCTGGAAACCCTGTAYGATCTGAACCTCAGGAAGAATCGGATATGGATCATTCAAACCGGGGCTTTCGCAAAGCTCCTCAGACTGGGCATGTTAAATTTAGGACAYAACTTCATCACTGATTTGCCTAATCAGCTTTTTGAAGGGCTGATCCAGCTCAAGACCATGCACCTTGAAGCCAACAGGATCACCGCCGTGGACTGCACCTTCAGACAGCTGCTCAACCTGAGAAACTTGTACTTGAACAACAACCGGATCTCCTCCATCTCAGACTCTGCTTTTTTATACCTGAACAAGCTGCACTTCCTCCACCTGAGCAGAAACAACCTGAGCTCGCTGCCGGCACGCGTGTTTGCTGAGCTGACCAAGCTGCGGTACGTGTTCCTGTCGCACAACCCCTGGCGCTGCGACTGYCRCACGCGCTGGCTCTGGCGCTGGACGGCCACRCGCAGGGCGGTCATCCAGGGGCTGGACTGCGCCTTCTCGAGCCCTGCCAACGCCACAGAGCCTGGTGACCGCTACCCTGGTGACCTGGGGGACTGCACGGTGCCACTGGAGCCGGCCACTGGGGACAAGTGCAGCGTGGCTGGGACCAGCGTGGCCCCCGCAGCCCCGGCTCTGCCCGGCTGGCTCGTCCTGCTGGCACTCGCCAGCCACACGTGGTACAGCACCAGGGCATGGGACACCTCACTGGCCACGTTTTAATGGTGCTTCAGGTAGAAAGGGGAGGCTGCTTGTTTATTTTCTTGYTGTTTGTTTATGGTTTTCACGGCAGGTGGGTTTTATATGGAAATAAAGGGGTTTTGTTATACAGGAGTAAGTGGTTTCACTCATGGGTAATGCTCAACCAGAATTCACCACCAGAATTCAATGGAAATGCTCGCATTGGCAAGTTCAGGGCTGGGGCATGTGTTGGTGATGTGGGGCTGGGAAGCACATTCCTCTCTGTCCTCCCCATTTCCCAACTGACTACGGCCAGGTGTGACTGCCCAGGGAGGGGCTGCCTTCCTGTGCCCACCCCATACTGGGTGTATTGGGAGTGTTGCTGAAATGGGAATAAACTGAATGTGTTCCTGCACATCTGGAGCCCGGACAGTATGGCAGGAGTGGGCAAAAATACCACCAAGTACAACATTTTACCACCCAGCTGCCCCTCACAGCACTGAACCTCAGCTAAGGAGGCCCTGCATTTACCCCTGCCGAGGTTGCTCCTCTTAGGGATGGTCTGTAGGAATTTTGTCTCGCTGCATGCTGTCAAGGAGCTCTGCTCCAGCACCACACTGCAGTGCCATACTCCCCAATCTCCCTCCCTCCAGCTGCTGGGAGACACAGATCAGCCTTCTCCATCCTCCCAAATGGAATTTTCCATTTCTGCAGGTATACGAAGAGCCCTTGTCCAATGTTTACTCAGTGCTCGCAGAAGGAAGCAACAGAATGTGTGGCAGACACACCACATTTGTCCCCGTCCTCAGAGGAATTATCCCAAGCTGATAAGAGCTAAGTGAGAAATAAACCCTTCTTCAGGGCTGAAAACACACAACCCAGCACATTCTGATATGGGAAAYCTGCCATGGAGGGCAGAGTAGGACCTGCCTTTGCTGTTGCACCACTGAAGGGACAAAGAGGGGCTGCACAACAAAACCTCACACACTGCATTCTCATTGTGATATTTGTGATCAGATTTGTGCAAAGCATTTAACAGCCAATACAGTAAATTTTTGCTTACATTTTTTGTGCTGTTTCACCATCCTCACTTTCCTCAGCTTCRCATACTTTGAGAAACAGTGGAAAAACACTCCAGTTAGTTTCCTGCTTTTGCACTCCTCTCTATCAAGCTGCAAAAGAAAAAGGCAGAGCAAAAATGCGAGCAAAGTCCACCTCAGCAATTTTTTAAGTCCCCAAAAGATTAGATTTTTTCCACTGAATAATATAAATCRGTGAAAAATTTATAAGGACGAGAACCTTGCCTSCTCTGAACRCTTAGAGAAAATATTCCTTCCACTTTTAACACCACCACCTCATTAAACAGCAACAGGAGCACAACTAAATTGCTTCTTCTGTGCTATGATCAAACAGTGACAGAAATATATAACAAGTTATGCAGAGTATGCTCAGGGAGAACATGTGGCTACATTTTTAATCCACAAAAAAATGAAACTTGCAAGGAATACAAAAAAAAAAAGGCCAGAAAACACAAGCCCTAAGGAAGCAGTCTGGGCTTGAAAAGACATTTGAAGGAGTACCTGAGGGTTAAGGATAAGGACAACATGCACCCACAAGGGCAGCAGCAAGTTCAACTGTTTAAAGTAAAAAATTCAATATGAATAAAGCTGACACTGCTAAAAAACCTTGGAAAATGCATTAAAAAAGCATGTAATTGAAGGAACAAAACCAAGTATAAATACTAACAAATAATTTAATACGAAAGAGCAAAAATACTTGCAGGAAGAAGGAAATGTGTTTAAGTTTACATCTTTGGCTCCTGTTGGAAACTTTTAAGTGTGTTTGACACAACAAACTATTTGAAAACYTGCTTGTTAAGAGTCTTTGCTGGAGAGAAAGCTGGGTTTGTCCTGATTGCCCTGCACTGGATTTCYAGCATGAGAGATCCACTTTGCTTGGACCTCAAACTTTTCCTTCCTAAATACACCCAGCACAAGGAAGAGATACTTTCCTATTCTGTAATTGTCAAAGTACCCCTTTCTCCTACTTCAACCTGGTACCAAGGCAGGACAACCTTGAAGAGGCAAGACAGGACAGATGCACGTGGCCACTTCTAAAGTCCAAGAATTTTGACCTTAATGCCACCACACCCCCAGCCAGTGCCATAAATCACCAGAGCCCTGTTTCAGTGGGATGGCTGTGACTCTACTTACGGTATATCGCTCCATCTTGAGTGAAAACATGCAATTTCCTCTGGGAAGCTTTGTTAACATACTTTCCTACCRAAAATGCTGTACCAGTGGAAAGTTTCCAGGCGGCTCTGCAGGAGGCTGCACACAGGGAATCACTGGGATGGTTTGCTGGCACCCCAWACCCAGAGCAGGCAGCGCTCCCAGGCAGTGCCATCGCAGCCGTGCTCTCACCCTGCAGCACTCACAGCTCCTGCTCATCCCCTCCCAGCTGCACCAGCCCCTCTTCCGCTCCCTGGCACACTCCTCCCTCCAACCTGCTCTTTTTTCATCCCATATAGAAAATTAAAGTCACTTTCACTCAGTAAGACCTCACATAAATGTAAACCTCTAAAACCCACGAGGCACAACATAGAAAATGCTTCCAAACATGTCCTGCCTCTGCTTTCAATGGACCTTTCCCTGCTGTGCTCCCAGCAGCACCAACCCCTCAAAAATTTAAGGACCAGTACCTGTAAAATTWCACATTTACATCAGGCCCTTAAAGATGAGGAAAGAACTGTGTGTGGCACTGCAGCCCAGGAGCAGMTAAAGACAGGCTGCCATGCTGGGTCAGTGCAAATAAGGAGAGAGGCGTGTATTTAAATGTTTTTATTTCAACTAATGCTTTGCCACCATATTACATCACTTTGAATAGCTTGTAATAGCAATATGATCTCAAAATATAGCAAACAGCTTGCCAAAGCAAGATAATATTAAATCCTATGGATACAGCATCTTCCTTCTTTGGCGACAATGCTTTCATTTATCTGTAAAAATAATTTTATGTTCCAGCACATTTGCTGTTCACTTTATTGAACCCTGCTGTTTATACCATTTGCCTCTTCCCTGCACAAAACCTCTCCACAATGTAGTATGGTTTTGTATCTAACAGCATTTTAAATAAAAAAGTTATAGGTTTCATGCAGATTTTTGTAAAAATTATTTTCTAGGTGCACAGAACTGAACCAAGATGCATACAAAAATGCATTCACTTCCATTCTCAGGTGTAACCGTGCCATCAGCATCAGTATC